TCATGAGAAGCAGTAGATAATACACAGAAGTGACAAATTAAATTCACAGAGAATTTTTTAAATCTCATTTTATCCACCTCCTCTCCCGCCCAGTTATTTATCAAAACGATTTACAAAGCCCGCATTCACTGCTTTAGTTCTCTATCTAACTGGTGCTGCTGAGGCCTGACCAAAAGGCAGGCAGTGGGAAGGAAGGATCACACTGTGTGGAAGGCTCAGTCTTCTTCTATATTGCCTGACGTTTGATTCTCATATCTGGGCCAATGTTAGCTGACTCTAGGGAAATATGGACAAAGAATACTTAGTGTCCATTTGTTGTTGTTGTTGTTAAGTGCTGTCAAGTCAGTTATGACCCATAGCAAACCTGTATAGGGTTTCCCAGGAGCGGCTGGTGAGCTTGAACTGCCGACCTAGCAGTTCAAACCAACTTTGCAGTTCGGCACATCAACCCACAGAATTAAAGTACCCTTTACTTACTATTTTAGTACAAATATAACACAGGCATTCTTACATAGCAATAATACTTAGCAGCCCAGGCTCACATGGTCCTTCTCAACATTCCTCCTAAAGATATGAAGCTTGTCATCACTAGCCAATCAAGAGACAAGGATTTCGAATAAATCTAGACAGTCCGTGTTCTGCAATGTCTCAGCCAGAAGTAGTGGCAGTTATTTTTAATTTGTTACATATTCCATGCTTCAAGTGCCTCCCTACTTCTCCTGCCCCAAATTAATGAAAAACATCCATTTCTGAGTGCATGGGTGCCCGTGAACCCAACACACACACACACACATACGTGTACATTGGGTTCTTTCCAAACATATGTGGCCAGTGTCCGTGGTGTTTGCCAATGTATCAGAGCCTGTTTTAAGATGGAAACAGCTATTTTTCCTCCCTCTTGGGGGTGATGTGTTGCTCTGCCCAACAAACCAGCTTCTTTCTTGGTAAGCTACTGCAGCTTTAAGATTTCTATATTATGGGACAATCTCAACCACAGGATGTCTTGCTAGCTCTTCAAAATCCAGGGGATAGCAAAGCTCCAATAAGATACTAACAATTAAAGAGAAATAGCAGGGACGAATTACAAAGGCAATAACCAATTTGGGGTTTTAACACTAGGAGCAAGTTTTGTGTGTCACCTTAAAGAACAGGGAACAGATGACCAACTAAATACTATTGATCTTTGAGTTCATTCTAACTCATAGGGATCCTAGAGGACAGGATACAACTGTCTCATAGGGGTTCCGAGGCTGTAAAACTTTATGGAAGCAGATTGCCACATCTTTCTCACAGATTAGCTGGTGAGTTCAAACTACTGACCTTTCAGTTAGCAGTCAAGTGCTTAACCACTGCACCATCAGGGATCCTTGACAACTAAATGAATGCTCCATATTAGGACTCAAATTCCAAATTCTTGGAAGACTTTGCTCAGGAGGCTTTGATTATGTGTCGTTGAGTGGGGTTATGAATGCAGGCCTATCTGAATCGTCTCCCTAGATGTTGTCTTATACTTCCATGTACCAGTTGTCCATCCTGTCTTCTAAATAGAGACAGTCAGACTGATCTTTCTCCTAGGTTCATCTCAAAAACAAGATGAATGCATGCAAACAGCTAAGAAAAATACCTCCTGGGGGACATCATTAACACACCCAGGTGCTAAACGAAAGACTGGAGGTTCCTCAGAATCAGCAGGCCTGGTGTTCTACTTCCCAAATCCTATGGAGCACAGTTCTACACTGGCACAGATGGGATTGTCATGAGTTAGAATTAATTCACATGGCAGCTGGATTTTATATTCATATAGGGATCGTATCTTTAAGGCATGTCCCTACAGATGGATTTTATATTCATATAGGGATTGTATCTTTAAGGCATGTCCCTACAGATGGAGGAGGTGGTACCTCCTTGGGCAAATCAGTTTTGTTCTATTTCCCCTCATCAAAAAGGCTTCATGCATGAAAACCAACGAATGCATGGATCCATGATGACATGCTGATCATAATAAATTATAGCTACTAATGAATCCTACACAGGGCTACCAAGAATAAGGGTTGGAGAGTCAGGAAGCTTTCTGTCTCCCTGTGGATCTTAAGCTAGCTCTTAATGATCACAGACCCACAGACATGCATCTGCCCAAAGTGTAGCCTTGGACCACCAGCACAGAATCCCCTCCAGTCCTTGTTACAAGGGAATATAATCCCAGATTCTACCTCAACCAATTGAATAAACATTTCTGGTGTTGGAGGTTTGTGGCTCTGCATTTTTTACAAGCACACTAAGGTTTGGGACCTGCTCAAGATTTGAAAGTCCTCACCTGGAAACCCAGAAGCTGGAGAGCCAACTGCCAGGTGCCCGACCTGTTCTGACTTTCACGACACTCAGCCGCCACTCATTTCTTTTAGGTTGCTCCCCATAATTTCCAGAGACATTCCTATGGCATTACTTGTCTTTCCACAGGCAATCCCCAGGATTCAACAAGCATGTGGCAATAACTGTAACTTCATCTTAATCTATTTTTAAAACTATGGAACTATTAAGGAACTATTTCCTAAGCCTGGTTTGTCAATGGATACAACAATCATACTGGTATTTGAACAAATGACTAACTCCTCAGGCCAGGAATTTTATTTTTTTAAATTGACTTCCTCTCCTTGCCATGATTTTGAAGGAATGTCTTGATATAATAGAGATGATGCCTCTCTCTGCATGGACATGGAAGTGACTTTTTAGGCTTGTGGACAATTTCCCAATTTTAACTCTCCAAGACTCTGAGCAATTGATAGAAGACAACTCTTGGGGCTTCTAGAATACTGATAGAGGAACTAGCAGTCATGTCAGACAGTGCTTCAAAATCTTTAGTTATCATGGTCGATCTGTGTGACCACTTAGCTTATTTGGGTGAACGCCAACTAATGATGTCAAGGACCTAGTCTGGGTCTTTTGTAGGTCAATCCGGTTCAGTCACTTTATTTCATGGTTGGTTGGTTGGTTGGTTGGTTGGTTATGTGCCGTGGAGTTGGTTCCACTCATAATAATGATTCTGTACAGGGTTTCCACCTTGAAAATCTTGACTAAAGGAATATGGATAACAATGTGAAGGACTACAACAAACCGAACACATGCTGTTGTTGAGTCAATTCCAACTCAAACACCCTATAGGACACAGCAGACTGACTACCCTCATAGGGCCTCATCATTTTCCCTCAGGGCAACTAGTAGATTCCAAGGACCAAACTTTGGATTAGCAGACCAATGCTTAACCCATGGCACCACCAGGACTCTGATGTAAATAACAGGTACTGGTAAAGTAACCCTGGGTCTGATGTTCTTTGATAAGAAAGTTCCTCTGTAGGTTCCAAAAATGCTAGTAGTATGTATGACCACAGATGATTTGATGCAGAATCTCTTTTAAGATTGTTTGCAGTATCATTTGTTCCTCATAACCCAAGTTAACTCCTTAATGCCATTATTTCCCCAGAAATAAACTTTTGTATGGTTCCTGGTTCACCTGCAGGCTTAGCTCAGTGTCTTTCTCTCCCCACACACTCCTTCCTTCCTAGGCAATAACATTTCTCCTCCTGCTCTGAGCTCAGCCTGTTCTTACTGCTAGCCCCAGATAGTGAGGAGGTCCAAGTGGAGATGGCAGCACAGAGATGCCTACAGAGAGCATCCCTTTTGCCTGTGCTGTACCAAGGACCAGGAGGCACACCCACCAGGGATAACTCGGTAGCCATAAAATGGTGAAGGAAGGGGGAAAAAGGATGCAGAGTGGGGTTTAAATTTAATCTCTGATTTTTGTTGTTCCTAACAGTAATATTTATGCTGTTTTTAGTTGCCATTGGATCAATTTTGACTCACAGTGACCCCATGTAAGCAGGGTAGAGCTGGTCTATTGGGCTTTCAAGGCTGTGACCTTTCAGAAGCGGGTCACCAGGCCTATCTTTCAAAGTATCTCTGGGTGGATTTGAACCTCCAAACTTTCGGTTAGTAGTTGAGTTCATAGCCATTTGCACCCCCCTCCCCAATTGATTATTTACCTTTGTGCCAGGCCTTGGGGGAGAGGGCTTAAATGTATTACCTTCATTCTCATAATATTCTCCTGTCCTTTTCTCTTATCACCAGACTAGATCTCTAAAATGTCTGTTTCCTTAGTCTCTTCCATACGTGCACCATGTGACAGGGTTCTAAGGATCAGAACAAAAAAATGCAAGGAGACTTGTGAAAGACAACTATGCATCTGAATAAGGAAAAGGAGAGAAGCCTCAGTGAAGGGTATTTAATGACATAGAGAAACTGTACATCTGGGGCAGAGATGAAGAGACCAAGCCAGGCCAGCTGCGCCTGACCTAGCAACGCATCCTGTTGGTTCGTGAGGCCTCCCTTGATGGAGGAAGTGACAGCAGCAGCATCACAGGTTTCCTCTCCCTGTGTGGGAGGGCAGTGCAACGTTCTCTTAGTTCAGTTAAGCACCTGGATTTCTGCAGCCCAGGCACAAACATTCAGTCCACGTCCTTTCTAACACATCAGGTCAAACAGCTCCCTTGCCACTTGGTGCAGGGAGCTGGTGGCAGGAGCTAGTGAAGTGTGGAGGAAGAAGACTTCTTGTTGGAGAGACAAGCCTGGGAGTCTAGGGAGGGGCGGCTCCCCAGGTGTGGTCACCTGGTCAGGGATGGCGTCAGAGCGCTCTTCACCGTGGGAAAGGAGCCATTTCTGTCCCGGTGGGTTCTGTAAATCTGTTTATGAGTGAAAGGGTAAGAAAGCACTGGACCTCTTAACCAATTGGTATTCTGGGAAAGACCCAAATTGAGTTCCTGCCACCTTCCATGGGGCCGTTTGTCCCTGAGGTAACAGAGCAGTCACATATCCACCAAAGACTCCAGAACTTCCAGACAAAATCGTCTTCTCCTTCTCTCCACCAACTCACTCCTCAAAGCAATGGTGGGTAGGCGGCACACACTTCTGAGTTCCTACAAACCTGAGCATCTCTACCGGAGAGAGAGAGAGAAAGAAGCCTTCTTCCTCCCACCCACTGGGGGTTGAGAACCAGACAAGTCCAGTACTCAGAGATCTCCAGCGTCTCTTAAATAAGATTTTTCCTTTCCATGTTCTTCTTTTAATTATTTACCATCCATTTATGTATACAAATATAAAATATATTTATATAGATTTATATAATATAGACTTTTGTGAGGCAGAGTGGAGGAGAGGGCCCTTGGGGAGGGTGGGGTCCACTCTGGCTATTTGCAGACATACTGGTCAACAATCTCGGTGCACTTTTTACACTTCACAAAGCAGCACCAGTGGAACTTGCAGTGACAGCGCTCCACCTGAATGCTCTTAAACTGGTCGTAGCCCCGGCCGCAGCACATGAGCTCACAACCATCCATGCCCTCCGAGGTCTTGTTGCAGAGGCGGCCCTGGGTGCCCAGGGAGCCTGTGGTCTCGTTGCGTAGGCAGTAATCAGGGCTGGGATCCACATACACCAGGTCCTCCGGGGTGGGCTGGTTGAAACGACTGTTAACCAGCTCCAGCTTGCCTTTACGGGTGATGCGCATGGCGGCCGCACTGTCGTATTTCTCCTTCAGCTGGTCCCCCACCTTGCGGAACTCGGCCAGCTGGAGCCAGCAGGTCTTGAGGCTGCAGGACCCTGAAACACCGTGGCATTTGCAGGCTACGTCTGCCATCTTATACACAGCCTGAGGGAGAGATGGGAGGAGAGAGAAGGGATAAGAAGGAGAATCCCTAATGGATAATGTGAAGAGGGTGGTCACAGGCCAAGTATAGGCAAGGAGCAAGTATGGGGAGACGGAGGAGGGAGTTATTTAAAGTTTTCAAAGATTTCTCCAGAATCTTCCGTAACTCGAATTGAAAACAGACAAAAGGAACAGTATAAGGAACGACGGGCAGATGATGTGATATTGTTTTATCAGTTACAAAGATACATTTGGGGCACTTTCACTTTCTACTTTATGCAGTTCTTGAAATGTATTATGATAAACAAGTGTCATTTGTATCGGAACAGGAAAAAAAGATATTTCCATCTTGATCGAATTCTCAAATGAGCAAATGAAAACCAGCAAAATGTGCCCAGCTTTAACATAATAAAGGGCACAAGTCAGAAAAAACAGAATCCAAACAAATTTCAACTTATAAAGAAATGGATGGCATGGTCCTGGTTAGCTAAAAGCTCACCCCCAATCCTACCAAACCCCCTAAGAATTAAATAGTTCATTTTTTCTATGTTACTATGTGGTCACTAATTCCAGAGTTACCAGGAGCACCTACATATCACCGATTTATATGCAAGATCACTTTCCTTCACCCCCAGCACCCCCAGACATTTCCTGTGCTGGGCTGTGAGGGTGGAGGAAGAATGGTGAGACCTTGCAGGATGGAAGAAAAGCAAGATGTTGGGTCTACTTACAGGGGCATATCCACCCTGGAAGTCACTGAAACACACTGACAGGGAGTGGACCTGAACTTGGGTTATCCCAAATCAGAATTTCAAAAGCAGGTGTAGACCAGAAAGTTGCTTACAAAGTGTTTTTCAATGAAAACATACTGATGCATTGTGTGAACCAACCCTGGCAGCAGGCCCAGAAGTGCAGATGGCAGGAGAAAAATGCAAGCCCGCTGCAGAACACTTCCTTATGCCACAGTTATTGTCACCAACAGAGTCAGGACTCTCTTTTCAAGGATTTCTTTAAGCTTTCCTTTCAAGCACCCCCAGATCGCATCTTCATTCAGCGCTAACGCAGAGACCAGTGCAGGTGCAAGAAATAACTATCATCAGCTCCTATTACTATTGTCAAAACTCTTTCTGGGTTTTCCTTTTTCTGGTATGAAATTCTTCTTGTTATATTATGGCGGGGATATTAAAGACCCAAGGAAGCTAAACAACCTGCCCGGGGCCACCCACAAGGGAGTCATAATGACACTTGTGCTTCTGTACTTCAATCTTAGAGCTTTAAAAAGGCTTAGGGTAGAGAAGGAAGGCAGGCTCCTCCCCAAGGTTAAAGGCACCACACTTAGTCTGGAAGCTCCAGGCACCAGGCATAAAGGAACTGACACCCCATTCCAACAAGCACTTCAAAGCTGGAGCCTGTAATTATCCTTCTGGCACAAATCCCCCGGGTCTGCAAGGAGGTCTGACATTCCTCTGGAAATGGGCCTTGGTTTAGAGAGGGATGGCAGGCATCTGGTGCTGCTGAATGGAGGAAGCATTAACAGTCTAAAATCATGTTCCCAGCCACTAAGTGACTACAGGACAGGATAAGGATCTCCAATGGGAGTAAACACTTACGGAGACTTGGGGAAGGAGAGTCAAAGCAAGAATCCAGAGTGTAGTCAGGTCCCCTCAGGACAAACCCCTTTCCAAGACTAAGACTCAAGGGGAATACATGAGCAGGCATGTGGTCTGGCTGATGACTACGTTGGTCACCGATGAAGGGAAGAGGGGGAAAAACAGCAATGAAGTTGGAAGCTAAGTCCGACCACATTCAGTAGACTCCTGTGAACCCGGGTGGAGAGCTGGCAAGTATGGCAAGACCCGGAGACTCCTGGGCCCAGAGGCAGTGACTTAGCCACAGAAGACTAGAGCGGAGAGTGAAGCGTCCAGCTGATATGAAGTGAGGGGAGATGCACAAGAACACTCATACTTGCAGATAGTACCCACTTGATCAGAACTCGACTAGAAGAAGAAAGAAAAGGGAAGAAAAAAAAAAAAAGAGTAACCCACTACAATTTGATGAACTTTACTTATACTTATGAATGTAGTAGCTCAAAAAAGGGAACAAATCTTTACAGTGAGGATCACTCCCACCCCATCGGTACACAGGGTTGACAGGGATGGGCAACAGACACTGGCTACCCAAAATAGCGGGGGGTGGGGGGTGGGGTGGGGGTGGGGTGGTGGAGCAACAAAGGCAAGAAGTGATGGCTTACAAGCTTTCAAGAGGAAGCCTAGTTTCAGATGGGGCGGGGGAAGGTAGAATAGTGAGTAATTGCTATCAGGACTGACTATGAGTCAGAAATGTAAAGGTAGATGTTTTGTAACAAAAGAAGGGGAGTGACTGATTTTGCAGTCCAGGAGCCAGAGGTCTCTCGGACCATCAAGGGAGAAGAGCGGAGTGCAGGATCCTCCTACCCAGAGAAGCAGTAACGCCAGAAATGGAGACAGAGACAATGATGTGGACAGATGGAGCGGCTGGGGACACTGGACTCAGGGCAGGAGAGGGGCTATGTGCTGATGGCCAGGGGGCAGGCAAGCCTGTGGGTGTACCCTTTGGTTATTTGATGATGCATGGAAGGGACTGTAATCATTGCAATGAAATGAAATACGATAGGATGAATGTAAAACTGATGTTCTCCCATGTACACCTACAAAATTCACAATTAAAAACTTAAAAAAAAAGAAAAAGAATCCACAGAGTGAGGACAAGAATTTCAGCAAAACAAATCCAAGAGGACCCTCCCTGGAGAGACCTTCATTCCACCAGCCCTTTAATATAGAGACATTGTAGAGTTATTATTTGTATTTATTTCTCATTTAATGTTTTACTATTGATAATATAAAGAACACTCATAGCGTAGTGTTATTATAAGCTGGGCTGCTACCGCAAGGTCAGCAGTTCAAATCTACAAGCTGCTCCACAAGAGAAAGATGAGACTTTCTGTTCCCGTAAAGATTTACAGCCTCGAAAACCCTATACAGGGCCACTGTATATTGGTCGGAACCGATTCAGTGGCATACAACCACCACAACCACAAGGTCAGAAATTCGAATCTACCAGTTGCTCTGTGGGAAAAAGATAAAGCTTTCTGCTCCCAGAACGATTTACAGTGTTGGAAAGCTCTACAGAATCACTATGAGTCAGAAGCAACTCCACAGCACCATTGATAATATATGATAATATATATAGATAAGCTTCTCTTGTAAATGGGAGAAAATCCCCATTTTTGGTCCTTCCAGATAACAGAAAAAGGCATAAAATGCTTTTTAAAAATGTTTGCGCTCCACATATTGCCCCCTGGCAAAGTCCTCTTGAAGTTTCTCTTCCACTTCTGTCTAATGGTGTGACTGGTTTGGTGACTGACAGAAATGTCACAAGGATTAAGGAGCTTTTACCTAGAAAAGGCTTAGAAACCCTTGAGTGACAAAACAATACCAACCCACAGGTCCTCCCATCACTATTTAAAATGGAGTTACTAAAGACTCTTAAAGGCAAAGAGAAATTTCTTGCAAAGCATGGTATGTACTCTATGGTCAAGAGGTCAGATCCTAGACAGTCTGCTTAAAAAAAAAAAAAAAAGCAGTTGTAAAAATAGTCTCTGGAACAGTTCTATCTCTACCTCCATTTAGTCCTTCCTGGAGGACTTTTCTGTGTAGGTGTGAGGAGGTGGGAGGTAAATACCTTTGGCCCTTTGGCTTCAAATGGTGACTAATGGCCAAGGCCTGTTCCTTGGAGAGAAGATTAAAACAAACAACCGAAAAAATGGAGGGGCAAGAATTCCCAACCTGGAGCAGACAGAGACAAAGGGAGAGATAAAGGGCTACAAAAGAGGTGTGGAGACTGCAGAACGAAGTCAGGGAGACAGACAGAGGAAGACTGGGAAGGTGTGTAAGAGAGAAACAAGGCAGATGGAAGGGAAGGTGCTGAGCAGATAAGGGCCCAGGACAAACAAACAAACAATTAAGGGCAATAAAGTGAGGAGCCAGCAGCAATGGGGTCAGGACTGTCACTGAGATGGGGAAGAATTGTTGTCTCCTCCTCTCCAGAGGGCCCCAGATTAAGATGAATGAATGCCCAGTCACCTCCACATCTGCTGCAATTCCACAAGGATCACTCAGAGCAGATAGGAAACAAACAGCCTCCCATGAATTTGACCTCTTAGTAGGAGGCCATATGGGAACTCCTCTCTGAATATTCACATGCACCCACCCATGTTGCAAAGAAGTCTAGATTAATGCCATCTGGAACTTACAGTCAGAAAGAAAAGCTAGAATAGAGATACAGCAAGAAAAGCGTATGTTCTCCTAGATGGTTCTTTGAACGGGGATCCTGAAAAGTGAATAGAATTTAACAAGAGATAAAGTGAAGCCCTTTACTAATCTTTCTCTTCTTCTTGGGGTTAGACATTGGAAGACTCAATCCCAAAGACTGGGGAATCATGGACTGCCAGATGGAGATGAAGCCCTGGGGCCCAGGAGCCCCAGAGGTCCTCAGAGTTGAAGGTCCTCAGAACAGAATGTGATTGTTGTTGTTGTTAAGTGCCGCTGAGTTGATTCTGACCCATAGCGACCCTGTATAGGGTTTCCAAGGAGCAGCTGGTGAGCTTGAACCACTGACCTTGGAGTTCAAAAGACTTTGCAGTCTGACTGCAATAGCCCACAGCACCACACCAGGACGCCAGACTGTGGTTAGATCATATCAATCAATCACAGATCAGAGCACTGACTAGGGATCTGTAATTGATAATGTAACACCACTACAGACGAACAGTCTGACCTCCATATCTGGCTAAACACAACTAGCTGATGGAGATGGAATAAATAAGGAAGGCACTGGGCAAATGACCAATTCTAAGTTTTACTTACTGTTGATGATGCCAAGTTTATATACGTTTACCTCTGCTAACCAAAACCAAAAAACTGTTGCTGTTTCAGAGTGACCCTGTATTCTGATTTCCAAGGCTGTCATCTTTTACAGAAGCAGACGGCCATATCTTTTTCCCAAGGAGCAGCTGGTAGGTTTGAACTGATAAACTTTTAGTTAGTGGCCAAGCACTTAACCACTATACCACCAGGGCTCCTGTACCTTGAGCTACCAAGTCAATATTGCAAGATCTTGAATCACACAAACACATTTCTGATGGCATTGATTTGATATGTGTCCCAATAAAACATGAAAGAATTTAAAAAATTTAATATATATACACACTTTTAGAAGTAGAGCCATATCCTGTTACTGAATCACCAAGAACCAACATTAAACTTCTGAATTTATTTCTTCTCAAGAAATTGCCACTCTCTGGTAAGGGCCATGGAAATAATTTAGAGACAATAGCAGTGATGATAACACAGCATAATGAATGTAATTTGTGTCAATGATATCCACATGTAAAAAAGGTCAAACTGGCAAGGGTTTTGTTATATATCTCTGTCTATCTATTCATCTGGATGTGACACTGTAGGATAAGCATGGGATTGCTAACCTCAAGGCCAACAGTTCAAATCCACCACGCCTCGGAAACCCTATGAGTCACTATGAGTCAGAAACGACTCCATGACACTTAATAACAACAATCTATCTATCTATCTATCTATCTATCTATCTATCTATCTATCTATCTATCTATCTATCTACCTACCTACCTACCTACCTACCTACCTACCTACCTACCTACCTACCTTCCTATATGAGGACTTCTAAAAGTTCCTGGAAAAGTGCAATGAAAAGATAATGGAATTTTTCCACAGAATTTTTCAAGCCCTCATATATTCATTATAATTTTTTAAAGATCATTCTCATTTTTAAAATTAATTCTTTGATCTTACTATAACATCTGGCCACAGACCTGAGTGTGGACAACATCCCAAGAAAGTGTTATCTCCTGAGAGGCCTGTGGTTCCCTGACTCTATGCCATGAGGGGTATCCTAGCATCTAGCCCTCAGACCCCGAACTTTCTAAGGGGGAACCTGGATGCACCACCATCCCCTTCAGTCCTTGTCTATATTGGATATGTCAAATCAGTAAAAGGCACAGCTTCCTGCAGCAAGCCACCAGTTTCCTGTGGCAGAGGTGGACTATGATGGGGGCAGCAAAAACAAGGAGAGGTCACAGCCTGCACTTAGAGGTGAGGTCTTCGTGAACAAGGTGCAGGCAAAAAAGAAATACAAGGGATTTTCCAAAAGTTCATGGGAAAATTCCATTACCTTTTCTTTCCATTTTACCACAAACTTTTTGAAGTTCCCTATACACTCCCCAAAGTGCCCTGGTGGAGCTGAGGGCTAGGCATTGGGCTGCTAATGACAAGGTCAGTGTTTCATACCCACCAATTGTTATGCAGGAGACAGATGAGGCTGTCTGCTCCTGTAAAGATTTATAGTGTTGGAAATCCTATATAGGGTCACTGGGAGTCAAGAATCAACTAGAGGGCAATGGGTTTGGTACACTCCTCAACATACCACAAAGTTGATGCCTTACGTTCTTCAGGGTATGCGTTAAAATGAAAAACAGTTGCTATGAAGCCAATTCCAACTCATGATGACTCTATAAGTCTTTCAACAGCTGGTTTTTCAGACAGCAGATCACCAGGCCTTTCTTCTGAGGTAACTCTAGATAGACTGCAACTTCCAATCTTTCATTAGTATCTTAGCATGTTAGCTAACCATTTATGCCACATTCTACATATATTCATGCAATCAACCAAACATCTCAAAACCATTATGTTAGTTTCTACTGAAACTGAGGCTCAGAAAGCAGTGTTCCATCTTATGTGAGACTGGTAAAATGTTTAAGGCTTAAGTCTTAAAAAACATGGGTGCCCCATGCATTCACTGATGTTGGAAACTCGTAGGCTAAAAGAGTGGTTTGCCACTTGTACTTGAGTGGGCTTTTTGACTGGGTTTCTGGATATGTCTGACAGCAGTTCTCGCAAGTTAGCTTTGGTTTTTACCTGAGTCTTTCACAAATCATAAACCTTAGACAAGGTTTAACAGCCTAAACTTCCAAATCATCTTATTTGTTCAAATTATAAAGTGTGGACTATCAGGACAAGAACTGTACTCCACATATCTGGAATTCCAATCCAAATATTTTATCTAAGTTCTAGGGGACAGATGTCCTGTGCAAACTCTGAGTAATACATAAGATTTTAAAACAACAAAAGCAATCACCCGTGCTCACTGGGAAATGGGACGTTTTGAGATGGAGTAACTCAACATGTGGGCATCTAGGTTGGTATCTGGGGGTGAGAAGTTCCATGGTCAGATCCACCTCCTTCTTTGTGGCCAGGCCACAGCTTACAGTTCCACCCAGGGGCAGCCCAATGGTCTACAATATGTTGGGAAGTGAAGAGGAAGTGAGGCCCATCTTACCCGCCGGCCTGCCTCATTGTTCTGCAGGTTCATGAGCACTCGTCCCTGCTCCTCCGATCCCTTGGCAAAGTTCTTCTCCCGCTCCCGGGCATCCACAAACTCCTTAGCAAAGCGGTAGCCATACTCCACATTGTCCCCACAGCCACCCCACAGCCAGTCCCGGGGAAGGTCTTTGGGCCGTGCTGTCCTGCTACAGCCACATGTAGAAAGCTCCCCCTCGCGGCAAGCCCGGCTGATGGCATTGACCACCCCCGCGGCACTCACAGCGTAGGTGAAGGCGGCCTCTCGGCTACCTGCAAGAGAAACAAGAGATGGTGAAGGTGCTCAACTCTCTTCTCCTGGTCAGACCCTTCCTTCTCTCTGTCTCCTCCCAACTCTATAGCACAACCTCTGCTGTCACACCCCCAGTGATGGGAAACAACGACAGGAGGGAGCATCTTGGACTTCCCATAGCCTAAAGGTTAGAAACTTCTCTTTATGATGAGCTGGAATCAGCCCTCTGGTTAATTCTGCCTATTGGCCCTAGCTCTGCCCTATGAGACCACCAGTCCTGACGTACACTTAGATCCATTTCAGAGAGGTTTCTATGACCAGTCATCCCTGGGAGGTAGACCTACATGGAGGGGGGAGTAGGCATTAAAGAATTTATGGAACACGTGGGACCAACAACCAACTGAATGAGACTGAGTCAAGAAATAATGACATCAATAGTAGGGCTCTGTATCCTAAGCAAAAATTTCTTCTTCCCAAATGCAATTTCTCATCACATCTATCTCTTTTACTGCTGCCATTATCTAGCCAGACGGAGGCAGAGACCTGGAGTAGAAAGTGAACTAGAAATACAATGTCCAGAATAACCCAAACTGTTCCCTTCTGTCTTTCATAGAGCCTACATTGCCTCCTAACTTGAGAGTGCTGAGGAATCATATCAGTGGTACTTATAATTTCAGACACTCAGCTTGGTTCCTGTAAATAACCAGATGATTTACCAGTAGGAAATCTGACCTAAGGTTCTCTTCATTGTTGTAGTGAATCACTTAAAAAGTAATATGTTGTTGTTGTTGTTAAGTGCCATCAAGTCGGGTCCGACCCATAGCGACCCTGTACAGGGTTTCCGAGGGTGTAAATCTTTACGGGAGTAGAAAGCCTCATCTTTCTCCCGCGGAGCGGCTGGTAGTTTCGAACCACTGACCTTAAGGTTTGCAGCCCGATTCGTAACCACTACGCTACCAGAGCTCCTTAAAAAGTAATATACAGGTATCTAAAAGACTAAGCTCTGATTTCTTAGTAGAAACAATGTAGGCAAGAAGGCAATGGGATGATATTTACAAAACTCAGAAAGAAACAAATGCTAACCAAGAATCATATAACCAGCAAAGCTGTTCCTCAAATACAATGGTGAATGGGACATTTCGAGATAAACAGAAGTTAAAGGAATTTGTAATGAACAAATTAACATTACAAAAGATACTAAAAGGGTGCTATTTGGACTGAGAAACAACAATAGCAGACAACAACTTGAGATTCCCAAACATGACAACACTACCCAGAACTCAATCTAGATATAGATATATTTAAAGTAAAACAAACTTACAAGACTGGAAATAGGGAACCAGAGATACCAATTTATAATAAAGTCAACTACAAAACAAAAAGAGGGAATAGTGTAGATACAGAATTTTCAAATGGCAAGGAAGTCAAGTAACTAGATGTGAAGATAAAATGGACTGTTTTAAACAGGAGGAAATTAATAAATTACAGGGTAATTAATACATCTTCACATCAAAGTAAACAACAGAAAATTAAGATGATCTCATAAATATTAACACAACTGAAATAAAAATAAAAATAAAACCCAGAAACAAAATGAACTCAGCACAGAAAATTATATGGAACAAGAAACCCAGCAGCACCACAAAGAAAACACACCAAAAAACCCAAAAACACACAGCAAAAGGATAGCAATCAATTCATACCTATCATTGAATGTTTACACTGAATGTAAATGGGTTAAATGTCAAGAGATAGAGAGAGCAGAATGGATAAGAAAACAGGATCCTTCAATATGCTATCTACAACAGACGCATCAAAAAATTGGAGACAGCCTAAATGCCCACAAACTTTGGTACAATGGAAAAACAACAACAAAATGATTCTGCAAAATACTCAGGACATTACGGTTAGTGAAATTAGTCAATCACAAAAGGACAAATATTGTATGAGACCAACGCTGTAAAAAGTTAAGTAAGGTTTTGTTGATAAAAGAAACATCTACGATGGTTATGGTGGAGGTAGGGAGGGAAAATTACTCACAGGCTAGAGAGTAGACACATGTTAACATGGGAAGAATGCAAGAGTTAAAGTGAATTTATATAAATATCATAATGAAGCGAATTATATTATTTGTTGAATGTAAAACTGATGATCTGCTTTATAAACCTTCACTCAATTCACAATGAAGTTTTTTTAAAAGGCATATATATCTTCTACTTAAATGAAAAAAAAATTAAAAATAATAATCATTAGTCATTTGCTGTTGTTGTTATTATGTGTCATAGTCAGTCCCTACTCATAGAGACCCTGTATAGCAGCGGTGGGGAACATTGGGGGTGCGGGCCTTAGAATCATTTGGTCTGGCCCTGCCTGCCAAGGCAACCACAGTTCCAGCCATCACATTTAGTTGGTTCACTGTGTGCCACGGAGTTGGTTCTGACTCATAGCAACCCTTCTAGGATTTCCGAGACTGTAAATCTTTATAGGAGCAGAAAGCCTCATCTTTCTCCTGCAGAGTGACTAGTAGATTCGAACTGCTGACCTTGCTGTTAGCAGCCCAGCTCATAATCCATTATGTAACCAGGGCTCCTAGCCATCACACTGCTTTTGTTGTTGTTGTTAAGTGCCATCGAATCAGTTCCAACTCATAGTAACCCTGGATAGGGTTTCTGAGGAGCAGCTGCTGGGTTTGAATTGCTGACTTTGTGGTTCGAAGTCCAGTGCTGATCCTCCAGTGCTACACCAGGATTTAGGGGTGAGTTCATTAAATGTTTGACCAACTATAGTAGGCTAATTTTAAAGTTGATAATTTTGCATAGCCTGAAAAATGTTATAAATTTTGGCAGAAAAAGGTTCCCCACCCCTGCTGTATAGGGTTTCTGAGACTGTAAATCTTCATGGCAGCAGAATGCCCCATCTTTCTCCCATGGAGTGGCTAGTAGGTAGGAACTGCCAACCTTGCAGTTAGCAGTCCAGTGTTTGCCCAACGACACCATCAGTTCTCCTACTCACACCTATTATTGTTGTTGTTGTTATGTGCCATGGAGTCGGTTCTGACTCATATTAGGGCAATCTATAATCAAAAAAGATACTAACAAGTTGAAGAGAATGTGGAGAAGCTGGGACCCTCACAAAGTGCTGGTGGGAATGCAAAATGATGCAACTGTTGTTTTAGATAACAGTCTGGCAGTTACTCAAAATATTCCACACAGTTACCATATGACCCAGCAATTCTACTCCTAGGCAGAAACCCAAAATAAATAAGAACATATATCCATGCAGCAAACTTGTACACAATGTTCATAGCAGCATTATTCATAATAGCCAAAAAACAGAAATAATCCAAATCTCCATCAATTCATGAATGTTGTTGTTGTTAAGTGCCGTTGAGTCAGTTCCGACCCATAGCGACCCTGTACAGGGTTTCCGAGGCTGTAAATCTTTACGGGAGCAGAACGCCTCATCTTTCTCCCGTGGAGCGGCTGGTAGTTTCGAACTGCTGGCCTTAAGGTTCGCAGCCCGATTCGTAACCACTACGCTACCAGAGAAAAAATGTGGTATGTCTCAATGGAATATTACTTGGCCATAAAAAAGACTGAAGTATTGATAAATACTACACTTGGATGAACACTGAAGACACTTTGCTAAATTAAAGAAGCCAGATACAAAAGGCCACATGCTGTGTGATTCCATTATATGAAATGTCCAGAATAGACAAATCTGTAGAGACAAAAAGTGGACTTAGTGGTTGCCAGGGACCAGGATAAGGGAGAAGTGGAGAATGACTACTGATGGGTATGAGGTTTCCTTGTGGGCTGATGAAAATGTTCTAGAATTAGATGGTGGTAAGTACAGCCAGAGTGCTCCTTGGAGGCCAGGATGGCCAAACTTCGTCTCTCATACTTTGGACATATTGTCAGGAGGGATCAGTCACTGGAGAAGGATATCATGTTTGATAAGGTGGAGGGTCAGAGAAAAAGAGGAATAGCCCCAGTGAGATGGATTGGCAAAGTGGCAGCATCAATGGGCTCAAGCATGGCAACAATTGTGAGGTTGGCCCAGGCTCAGGCAGTGTTTCGTTCCATTGTGCATAGGGTTGCTATGAGTCAGTCAGTACTGACTAAATGGCACCTAACTACAACAACAATAAAGACTACACAATGCACTGGACTGCAAAGTCAGTCTGAACCACAGGCCTGAGGTTCAAGCTCACCAGCCACTCCTCAGAAACCCTATACAGGGTTGCTATGGGTTGGAACTGACTCGATAGCACTTAACAACAACAACAACAATGACTGCACAACCTTGTGAATATACACAAACCCACTTAACTGTAGACTTTAAAAGCATGAATTGTATGAGTTACAGCTCGATACAGTTGTTATTATAAATAATACTCCTATGGACTCAAAGATGAAGGAAAGGGAGCGATTCTTAGCAGAATACTGGGATTCAGTCCTGATATTAAAGATTAAGCCAGGAAGAATCTTGAGCTCTTCATTTCCTCCTCTATTGAGTCTCCATGGTCTGTAGCAGACATCTCATAGTGCTCTCTTGGCAGGTGGAGAAGAAAGCAGTCTTCAAGCAACTAATAGGTCTAGAGCTACCTCTCACCTTGACCTATTAATTGATTATTGAGGCAAGATACAGTGAAGTTTGCAACCAATCTTTTTTCTCAATTAACCAATTTCTGGTCAGGTATAGTATAGGAACTCAGATGGTGGCAGGAAGTTACACTCATGATTCAGCCATCTTGACATTTGAGTTAGTACCCAGCTATAGCCAGAAAGTGGATACATTCAGGGAGTGGATTCATTCTTTTTTTTTTTTTTTAAAGTTTTTATTGTGAGGTTTACATGGAAGAATATCAGTTTTACATTCATCCTATTGTATTTCGTTTCATTGCAATGATTACAATCCCCTCCATGCATCATCAAATAACCAAAGAGTACACCCTACAGGCCCTCCCCCCCGGCTGTCAGCACACAGCCCCTCTCCCTCCCTGAGTTCAGTGTCCCCAGTCGCTCCATCTGACCACGTCATCATCTCTATCTCCATCCCTGGTGTCTCTGCCTCTCTGGGTAGGGTTCTGCTCTCCACTCTTCTCACTTGATGGGAGTGGATTCATTCCTGAGACATCTTCCTAAAATGCAGCCTTAACTCCCTGATATGGCATCCTGGAGCAGGAGGGAGTTTTGAAGCTGGAGCCCAGATCTACATGCCATCCACTGTAAACTTTCTGTTTACAACACTCTCAGAGAAGCTGGCTAGCTTTTTAAAGCAATCCATTCCATCTTTTTTGTTGTTGTTTTTCAATGATGCCAATCACCAGAACATTCTTTCTTAGATTAAATTGAAATATGCTTCCCTGTAACTCCTGCTGCTGGAGCTACATTGTCTAATCCCTTTGCCATTTGACAGCCCTTCAGTGTTTGAAAACAACCAATATGCCTTCGATGTTTTCACTTTTCCAAGCTACATATGTCTAATCTCTTCTGCCATTCTTTAGCAAAGATGCTTTTCAGAGCTGAACCATCCCTCTCAGAATTGGCCCCCGGTTCTCAACATGCCTCGTAAAATAAATATGTCTGCCGTTGAACAAAATACACCAGATGTGATGTGTCCTGACAGTTTTAGCCCATCATGATGGCCTAGGATCCCAGTCTGTCCTCCAGTGTATAAGCTGTCTCATGCAGTCACTTTTCCTGACTCTTTTGGTTGGGAGCATCGCTATGTCCTCAGTGTGGGTAGCTCTACCTGGATGTGGCAGCAGTTAGGTCATTTGGTAAGCCCAGGGTGGTAGTAAATTATTATTTTTTTATGATTCATCAGTACTAGTAAAGGTACTAGTGCTACCCTCAGCAACCAAGTGATAACCAGGGTCTTCAGAATGGATAAGGTAAGTGGGGAACTTACCTATATGTGAAACAACTCAGAGTTGATTCAAACCATCTCAGGATAAAAGCTAATAAGCCAGCAGCCATGAAGCCACTAGAGAAACCCTGAGTCCTCCTCTACAAGGAACACAAGGAGACTGTACAACAACATCATGCCTTTTCTACTACTACCAGGAAGGTGTCTTTATACTCCACAGGGTAGAGGTTCCCTAAAGTGCCAATGACTCCCTCTAAGCTGCTCTGCTGCCCTCTAGTGGCTGACTTTTGCAGCCACTGTATGGAGAAAGGAGTCTTTTGGGACAGGAAGCTGTTAAGACTCACCAGGAGCTACCTTCCCTGGTAGCATAAGCCTGCAGGGAAGTTAACAAAAAAGGAGTGCTAAAAATAAGGCAAATAAATGGGTCCCATTTTGTGGTGCTGTGGGTAAATGCGCCAGACTGCAAAGCCAATTGAACTGCAAGGTCGGTGGTTCAAGCTCACCAGCTTCTCGGAAACCCTATACAGAGTCGCTATGGGTCTGAATCGACTCGATGTCACTTCACAACAACAACAATTTTGTAACAGACTAGGATACAGAAACTGACAAGTTGGCTTTCACAAGTCATTCCACATACAAATCTGAACCCAGTGGAGATATAGCTACTCCTGCCAACCCCTTTCTTTCCTATAGGAAAGTTTTGCTTTGGGGCCTTTTATCAAATAAGATAACATATGATAAAGTTTAACTTTGTTATTGTTGTTAAGTGCCATTGAGTCAGTTCTGACCCAAAGCGGCCCTGTGTAGAGTTTCTGAGGAGAGGCTGGTGAGCTTGAACCACCAACCCTGTGGTTCAAACCGACTTTATAGTCCAGTGCATTAATCTACAGTGCCACAACCAGCACTTTACATGTACATTAAAATCCAGTTGCTGCCCAGTGGAAGCTCTGACTCATGGTAATCTCATGTGTAACAGAATAGGACTGTACTCCGTTTACTTTTCATAGGTGATTTTTCTGAAGTAGATCATCAGACCTTTCTTCTGAGGGGTTTCTGGGTAGACTCAACCTCAACCTTTCAGTTAGCAGCCAAGTATATTATTCGCACCACTCTGGGATTCCCAGGCATATATTGTTGTTGTTAAGTGCTGTTGAGTCAGTTCCGGCACACAGTGACCCTGTATAGGGTTTCCGAGGAGCAGCTGGTGGATTTGAACAGCCGACCTTACAATTAGCAGACCAATTATTGTTGTTGTTAAGTGCCGTGGAGTCGGTTCCGACCCATAGCGACTCTGAACAGGGTTTCTGAGGCTATAAATCTTTACAGGAGCAAAAAGCCTCATCTTTCTCCTGTGGAGTAGCTGGTAGTTTCGAACTGCTAACCTGCGGTTTGCAGCCCGATTATAACCACTATGCTTTGTTGTTGTTGTTTGAAATTTAAGAAACAAAACAAAACAGTGTTTACTATATTGAACTGCTGATAACAATCTGGATTTTTTTTAATGAAATATAATTTATAATTATACTTTGCTAAAGGAGCTCTGGTAGCGTAGTGGTTACGAATCGGGCTGCGAACCTTAAGGTCAGCGGTTCGAAACTACCAGCCGCTCCACTGGAGAAAGATGAGGCTTTCTACTCCAGTAAAGATTTACATCCTCGGAAACCCTATACAGGGTTGCTATGGGTCGGAATCGACTCGATGGCACATAACAACAACAACAACATGCTTAGCAGACCAGTGCTTCCCTTTAAATCGATCAGAAAACTGCCCTCTCTCTACACCATGGTCATCCTAGCTTCCTCGCCCAAAACAAGACAGGGGAGTAAGATTAAGATTTTGCTCCAGAAGAAAGGATAAATACCAAGTGGATTTAAGAGGACGGGCTAAATTATGATCAATTCCACTTAACACCACCACCCCCCAATTCCCATTCTTTTGGGAAAATGGCCCAATAAATTTGTCATAGGAATGCATCTCTTTTATGCACTTTGAGCTGATACTAAAGGAAGCAAGTGAACAACAGGGTTCAAAGTGTACTCATACTTTCCTCCATTCTCACTTGTCAATATAGGGTGGGGGACTCAGGGGAAAGACTTCTGGAATAAATGACAAAGAATGGGGGAGTCGGGGTGGGTGGGGACTTCCAAGTATCCTTAACGAGGAGCACCGAATTTCTAACTCCCTTTCGTGCTAAAATCACTCTTTAGGGAAGTCCTAGCTTCAGATGACTCCTGAATGTTGGCTTTTGAGGGGAAGTTGTTCTGGGAGAACATGAGACAGGAGGAACACAGTGCTCTAACACCTTCTTTTTATGGCCCTGAGGATAAGACCCAGTAGAATAGGGCCGGATTTCTCAATTTCTTGCCAGGGAAGGGAGGACTGCATTTCAAAAGGACCTAAAACAATTAGACCCCAGATCACACCTCCATCTAAGCAATAGGGTAGCCAAAGAACCCTAGACCAGCAGTGGGAGAGGGAAGCACAGGAATCCAGGAAGGAGAGCCCTCTCATCTTTCTTCTTTAGTCTGTCCCCTACCCCCACTTTCACACACATCCTCTTTCAAATGAAAAAGCCAGGACTGGATCTGGGTCGGGTTAATGACAGCTATCATCAATTTGGCCCAGAGTTTCACTCTCTCTCAAGGGTCCAAATGAAAGATGCAAAAAGCCTACAAACATTCGGTTCTCTAGCCAAGACTCTAAAAGAAGGCCACCCTTGTACTAAGAGACAAAGGGCAGTGGTGGTGGGCGGGTTTCTTAATCCACTAACTCAACTCAGATGTTCTGACCCCGTCTTGTCTCGGAGTGAGTCATAGGCAGCCCAAACAGGGTAAAGCCGGAAAACAGAGGATGAGAGGAACACTGAGATGTGTGGTTAATACATTAGCTGAGACACCTTTTTTTAATGTGTGTGTCCTCTGCCCACTGCTTCCAAGTCTGTCACAGGAACACATGCTCTTTTATGCACTTTTAGTAGATACCATACCAGTCCTGACAGAGCTTCATTGCCCCCAGGCAAGACCAGCACATTTCTTCTGGCCAACCCTCGTTTTGGTAGCCTCTTACCTATTTGCATGACTCTCCCAAAGACAGAAGTATTGTCCACAGTACTGCAGTTCCACCGCCTCTGCCGGAATTGATACTGGCACTCCTTGATGCCCGTCTTGGCTCCTTCCCCTATGTAGGCCATGTGCTCCTGGTATAATTGGCACAGCTTTCTCTGGCCAGGGGAGAGTCCAGGAAGCTGACTACATACAGGCTGTGCACCAATAATGAACATCTCAGGTCTCTGCACCGGGTTCATAGCTAGTGACCTAAAACAGTGATCCAGAGAGGGTGAGAAAGCATGAAGTCATTCACTGCCACAGAAAGTCTATGAAGCAGAAACACATATGACACATGAGATGCCAAGAGCTTAAAGCAGACTTAAGCTTCTAGCTGGGGAGAAAAGGAAAGATTTTATGGACATGGCCAGAATTTGAAGCAGGTCTTGAAGGATGAGGGGCAGGTGAAGGAGACAAGGGAAGCAGCCTATTGATTCATTTGAGGCAGAAGGCAAAAAACACCAAACCTCATATGAGATACATGACTTATTCAAGTAGGAGCAATTTGTTCTGCTTAATCCAAGAGCAGGATATGTGATAGAAAGCAATCAATTGCTTAACATAGAAATCCTTTAAAATAGAGCCCAATTTACATATATCACAGCATATTCTAAATGTTTTCACTTCCATATCTCAGTCCACACAGCTGCACTCTTTATCTGCTCAAGGGGTCTCCCTTTTGCTCCTCATCTACTAGATATTAGTAGATCTTATAGATACCCAGTCGTCTGTTGGTGAGAGGGCTATAGATTTGGCATCTGAGTAAAAATTTGAGTGGGGCATAGACAATGCAAAATAGATGGTGATTGTCTGCCATTCCTATATTGATTTGTCAATGACAAAAGTCTTAAAAACACACCAGAAAGTCACATGTGACCCTGCAAATCTCTCATCTGGTCTTCAGATGAGAGAGAGATTTTAAAACAGGCATTCTACTCTCCCTCTCCGTGCCCTGCCCCCCCCAATCAATATTCTTATTGATCTAATAGCAACAAAAGAGCTATTTAAAAAAAATCCATAGGGATGGGGAAAATCCAGGAAAAGGGGCCTGTGAACAAGATCAGAGAAAAAGTCAAATGAATTCCTAGTTCTTTATCCTTGAGGGCATCCCTAACCCGAGAGCTTGAGATAGAAAAAGAATTCTCTAGTATCCTGGAATAAAAGATGGTCCTTAAAATAAAGGAATGATCCCAATGTATGCTGACCTTTCTCCACATCTCAGTTACCAAAACAGGGATACCTTGGGTTAGAGAAGTAAAGCGTCAGTCCCCTCTGACTTACCACCAGGAGTTGGCTTCTGCAAGAAGCTGCACCCAGCTGGAGAGCAGAGCAGCAGTGAAGAGCAGCAGCAGGCCAGGCATTGTGGGCCTCACTCCTCTCCAGTGCCCTGGGAAGACCCCAAGGACTGACAGCTTCCAAGACAGGGCTCCCTGGAGAAAGCAGAAATGAAAGGAGAAACAATGTGGAAATCCAACAGAGAAGGGAAGACCAGGAAAGAGGGATGGGGTGGGGAGATGAGCCCTGGGGTGGATTTGAAAGTCAAGTTCTGGTACCCCCACTGGAATCCAGACTCTTTCCAATCTCCATCTCCTATTACCTCAGAATTTTTATGCCTCTTATCCAAAATTGTGGGCAGCCTGCTCAGGACCCAATTCTTGGGGGGATACAATGATATGAGAAACCAGACAAAGAAAGAAAGAAAAACAAATCATCTCAAGAGCAGTGTGTTCTATACAGTATTTAGGAAGATGCTTTGACTGCTACAAAGTACACCTGCCCTTCTTCCTGAACATCCAAAAAAATGAGGAGAACTATTCCATCCACTCCAGCTCAGAGCTTGCTGTCTCTAACATCAGGCTCTCCTTTGTGGGGCTAAAAAACAGAATTGGTGAATTGGATTTGCCTATCCCTAAATAGGAATCTTCCCTTTTAATCCATACTCTTTTCACTCTCAACAAGTTTTCTAAATCCCAACCTTGTTTGCCCTTTGCCAAACAAGGATGATAGTAGGAGTAGTAAAATCAGGGCTTTTCACTTTCTTGAGGCAATGTGTCTGAGAAATGTGAAAATTCTACAGATATCTAAACCCTAAAGTTTTGGCGGCTAAGGTGGTGCCTTCCTAGGTGGTCCACCCCCTCCTGTGCACTCCCCTTTTGGGGCCCCCTGAACATCTTTCCCAGAAGCACACAGAGCAGCAATAGGGACGGGGCCAGCTCCTGGTCTACATCTCTTGCATCAAATGTCTGTCTGTGGATTCATCTTCCACAAGAAGCAAGCACTTCCTCACCGCACTTTCTGTAACTAACACCTGTGGCTCCTCTAAAACACTTTTCCTTGAGCCCTGGAAAACGTCCAAGCTTGTAGATTGTAGAGCAAGTCTATAAACACACGCCCCCTCCATTCACCTTCACCTCGTTTCTCCCTTAAAGTCCATCTAGGGCGTGACCCCACTCCCCAATGAGCCTTCTTCCCACAGCCCCTTAACACCTCTAACTTTACACACACAAGCACTCCCACATGCACACCCCCCAGCTCACCATGCAGATCCCCAAGTTCTGGGCCTCCAGGCTCTCCGGGAGGGGGCGGCAGGTGCTTTGGGTCATAAGCCTAGGAAGTACACGTTTGTCCTGGGGCCACCAAGATAGGAAGGTGGCCCGAACAGGACCCAGGGAAGCTGGGACACAGCCTTTCCCCCACTCCCTTTTGGTTTCTCTTTTTGAGGTCTCTCCTAGGGCGGGGGCACCAACAGGCAGGTGTGTGGGGCCGGCAGAGGGCAGATCAAAGAAGAAACTTGCTCCTTTTCCCTTTGTCATGCAGAGTCAGCTCGGAAATGATCCGGCCTCTATCCTGGCCAGCTAACAGCTCCCCACACCCAACTTTCCTACAGACCTCTCCTGCTCTAAAGGATGCCTCCTCCCCCTCGACCCTCTACCCCCTATAAATCCTCCCCCATCCCTCAGGGCAGGAGGTCTGTGAATGCACCGACTGGAACCGAAGAGAGATGGAGCAGAGATAGGGCTGGCACCAGAAGCTAATGGCTTTATGGAGGGGAGGGGACCAGGTCCCGAGTAGCAAGGACGAGAGAAAAGCTTCAAAGAGCTTTCTTGTCCAAACATCCTCAACTCCACCTCCCAGGCCTTCGTGGGGACTGAGGAGTCTGAGTTGAGCCTATTCCCTTTAGGCCTCCTCCCTACCGCTTCCCCAGCTTCCCCAACGGCTCTGGTCCCCACACCCACCTGTCCCACATCTCCATCCCCATCACCATGCCTGATGCAGACACCTACTCCCAGACCCAACATAGATCCTCACACATTGCCACGGCCAGATAGCTGAGTTCTTTCTCCCAACTGGTGGCACTTCTTATCCCCTCGCTGCCACTCTCACACCAGTGTCTCTCACCTCTGTCACACCATGTCATCAGGTTCCTGTGAAATCTTTCTGCTCCCACAAGTCCTAGGTCCACCCAAGGCCACATTGGGGGCCGCCATTTCTGAGCCAAGTTCAGGAGTCTGCTTTGACTCCACAGTGCCAGGCTGACAGGCGGGTTAAAATCAAACTCCAAGAGCTACTAACCCTACTTCCCTCAATTTAGAGACATACATGGCAATAAGAATCCTTCCCAACAACTGTCCCTACCACCTTGTTCTTTCCATCACATTAAAAAAAAGTTTTTTTTTAATATAAAAGAAAGAAAAAGGCTCCTCTAGCTTCCAAGGGTATGGTACTTGAAACTGAACACTACATTCCCCCCAGCAACCCCATCAACTTCCTCCCTCCCCCTTCCCACTCCCCACACAGGCCCTTTCCACTGTCAGACAGATGCGAGCCTTCCCCTGTGGGTGGGAACAGAGTCCAAAGCTGGGCAGCTGTTTGCCCTCTCTCACATTCTTTGCTTTCCTTGCACTTGGGTGGGAGGAGAAAGGAGGTCAGTCAAAGAGGTAAATGTTAGCTAGCAGTTGCTTTAATTAGAGTGGGCAGCATTGAAACTTCTTAGCTCAACCCAGCTTGGGAGGAAGGAGGGCGTGTAGGGAGTGATGTTGGGTCTTGATGAGCAGGATTCATCTCAAGCCCCACTTGTGGACCAACTAAATAAGTTTTATAACAGGGCTCACCCAGAACATCATCACCCCCACTGCCACTGAGGTAGGTGGTTCAAGCTCACCAATTGCTCCTAGGAAACCTTATACAGAGTTGCCATGGGTCAGAACCAACTCAACAGCACAACAACAAGAGAGGCAACTGTCATTTCAAATCCAGTTAACACAGTATTGAGGTAAGAGGGTCCACAGGATCTTTAATCATTAGTACAACTGGGAGGGAGAAGGCAAGGAGATGACTGGGGAGAGGGCAAAGATACAAAATCCACAAATTTCCCTTCCAAAGAGACAAAATAAGCTGGTCAGACATCTGCTCTGCCCTACTTCATTCATTTATTCATTCACTTAATAAATTAATTCATCAAATATGCATTGAGTATGTGCCAGGCTCTTTCTAAGTGCCAGGGTTCTGGCAGTGGACAAATAAATGCTAAAACCCAAACCAAACCAGCTGCTGTCAAATCAATTCCAATTCATAGCGGTAGAACTGCCCTCATAGGATTTCCAGTGTTATTTATCTTAAATATAAAGGGTTTCTTTTCAGAAACAGACTGCCATATCTTTCTCCTGCAGAGTGGCTGATGGATTCAAACTGCCAACATTTCAGTTAGTAGCCAAATGTTCATACTATGTTGTTGTTGTTGTTGTTAAGTGCTGTGAAGGTAGTTCTGATCCATAGCGACCCTGTATAGGGTTTCTGAGGAGCAGCTGGTAAGGTTGAACTGCCAACCTTGTGGTTCAAAGTGACTTTGCAGCCCAGAGCATTAACCCACAGCACCACACCAGGACTCCTATGTTAGGTCTTGCAAATACTCTGAGGGAAAACCAGGCAGGGGCAAAAATAAAGAATGATAAGGGCCGATGGTTTACATTATATAAGGTCCTTGGGGAAAGTCATTCTGTGACTATCTAGCTTTCCAAATCACCATGTGGAAAAGATGGTAGCAGGGTTGTAATCATCCAGAGAGATGATTTTATCATCTAGTACGTTGTTGAGTTGATTCTGACTCAGGGTGATCCCACGTGTGTCAGAGCAGAACTATTTCATAGGACTTTGTTGTTAAGTACTATGGAGTCGGTTCCGACTCATAGTGGCCCTGCACAGGGTTTCCGAGGCTGTGAATCTTTACCGGAGCAAAACGCCTCATCTTTCTAACACGGAACAGCTAGTAGTTTCAAACTGTCGATCTTGAGTTTAGCAGCCCGATTCGTAACCACTCCGCTACCAGAGATGGCTACTTTTTTCCAAAAGTAGATTGCCAAGATACCTTTTTTCAAGATACCTTTGGGTGAACGTGTGCCTCCAAATTTGGTTTGCAGTTAAGCATGTCAATAGTTTGCACCATCCAAGGATACCAGGTGTCCACATTTGAAAATAGTAATTCCAAGTTCTTTCCCGTTTTCTGGTTGGATTCAGTCACCAGTTTTCACCCCTTAAGGGATCCAACCCAGAGTTAGTAAACTATGAGGGAGAGCTGAAACCTCAAACAACTCTGTCCTTAAGACTGTGTTCTCCACACACACTTCCGAGAGAGTGATCCTTAATGAAACTCCTAATCCACAGGGCAAGGGGCTGGTTTCACGGCCATTAACTGCGAACAGAAACTACCTCTGGATGTTTCAGTTCCACCAGAGCCTGGGGAAATCCTGCAGGACAGACACACAGGAAGTGGCATCCCAAACCCACACCTGCCCTCTTCCTCTAGACAGAAACACTCACACCTAGAAACCTACCCAGAAATAATCAAGAACTTGGATTGGGAGCCTTTTCAAAGTTGCCACTGGCTAATTCCTATGTTATGAGTCAATGGAGAGCTATATATAATTTAAAAACACATTTGCAATTTTATTAACATTCCTGGCATAATAAGGTAGAAAATCTTAGCAGTCTTTGGAAAGAAGTGCCTCCCTCATTGAACTGCTGCTAAAGTTTACTGTTCTTGTTAACTTGTTGTTAAGTACTGTGCAGAGTCAGTTACGACTCATAGCAACCCTGTATAGGGTTCCGAGGAGCAGCTGGGGGGTTTGAACTGCCGACCTTGTGGCTTGCAGTCCAGTGCTGATCCTACACCTTTACTGAAATACTTGTGTGTTAGTTAATGATTTCCATGGGCTGGGGGTCAGGTTGAGAAGGGAGCAGATGTTACAGAGGTATAGTCTTGTGCCTGCTCCACTTGTCACTTCATCTCTACCACGTAGTGAAAGACCATGGGCCTCAAAGCACTTGACAGACAACTCCTAAAATTTGTGTCCAGTTCATTCATTTTCTTCTCTAGTTCCAACTAAGTGTTCATTCCCTCCTTCCATCTGAATACCAGAGCAGTTCTTTGAGTTCTAACCCACAAC